AAATGCATCACTGTAATTACCTAATTAAATCAGTAAATATGAGAATCTTCTCCCACAACACAGATGACAGCTGTTCAAGTGTAAGGACTGTATGCATTACATAGACCGTCTTAGAAAAAAACATCATATATTATAATATTGTTGATCTTCAGCTGGAATTGGGACATGAACATATGTATATAACATTATTATTGAGGTGTGTGGGGATGTCTGAATGTCCAAATTCAGTTCGTAAGAACAGATAGTCATTACCATATAGGAAACCTGCTAATATTGTAGAATGTAAATAAGGAAGTGTTCTTATTCTGCAAGGTTCCTACACAAATCTCAAGTTACCTCTGTCTTGTAATAGGGCCTGTTCTAAAAACCTTTGAAGTTTCCAATTGACTCAACAGTTTTTGGATCTGGCCTTAAAGTAGTAAAACCTTTGTTGAATGTTTACAGATAACCACTTAGTCAGTGCTGGCTTAAGAAAAGAAAAAGGAAATAAATTAAATGCATCTTCCAGTGACATAAGCCTCATGAAGAATTAACTAGGATAAGCACTTACTCTAGTTGGTGCACTGTCAATCTGAACAATGCAGACAAAAATAATAATTAAAACATAGCTTCATGCTGAGATGAAACTTTCAAGAGTGTCTACTGTGTTAAGCTTACAACTTCTCTGGTTTTGTATTTGCAAGCATAATTATGTCCCAGAGGCAACAGGAGCTAGTGCTTGTCAGTCCCCATTTCCCCCTCCGATAGGCGATTAATTTCTTTACACAGAAATACGAAAGTTGATGCCAGAGCAATAATAATAATGTAAACAAGTCTTTTATTCTTTTAATCTGGAATGCATAATTTAATGGCATAGTTGTATAAATAATGAAAATACCACATCTACTTTAGACAAGGCTAAACTGAAGGTAACATTTAATGTAGTATTGATTGACTGTATCAACAAAATGACGGCAGACATCTATATGGATGATAGCAGCTAGGAAAATGCTACCAAATATATCAATACAGATTAAGTAGCGGTGGGATGGAGCAGACTTGATGGCTCAGAGTCCTGGTAATGGAATATGGAGCCTTTCACCTCCAGCACTCTGATTTGAGCCAGCCTAGGTCAGTCTGCATCTGAAAGTCATTACCATCAGATGGTTCTTCAGTGAAATGAGCTTGTCTTAATGGCACGCTGTCTGTGTCACGAAATGCACCATTTATCATGGCTAACACCATGTTGAGATTTTCAGCTGGAAGGCTGGACGCAAAGAGGACAGTCATCTGGGGCTGCCCTGCTATGGGCTGTGCTGAAGAAGTTTTAGGAACTTTAGTGCTCCTAAATACTAATTAAGCAAAGAGCAAGGGGAAGGTACCTGTGCTAAAGAAATCGCAACTGAAATGTAAGACAAGACATGAACTAACAGACAGTAAATATGGGAGAAGCAAGACAGCAGTAGACTCAGCACACCAGAAGCATGAAGCTACAGTAGCTATGCTGCAGTAGCTGTCTTTTGGATGGATTCAAGAGCAACTGTTACATGGGGAAACCAAAACAGGGTTTGTTAAAAGACATTAAAACCAAACATGAAGAAAAAGGCAGTGGAAACTAGTATCGTAGGTTAGTCAGAGGCAAGAAGTAACATATTAAAGCTAAGTGAAAACAAACTAGGATAGGAATAAAGAATCTCAAAATGAAGGCAAAGTGCATACAGAACCGGTGCAGAGATGGGAGATGCTGGAGTGATGCAAAGTGAGGAATGACATGAACAAAGGGAAGAGCTAAGGGAGTTATTTGTTTCAGCAGCAGTTCTGGTTGGATATGAGCAGTGCAAGACTGTATCTGTTAAAGCCACCAGAAATGACGTTAGGAAGTGACAGGAGCATAAGAGAGTTTTAGCATTGCGGTTGGATGGGGAATACTGTACTTCATAGAAGTTTGGGAGTAAGGTGTTACCCAAAAGATTTAATGACTGCCTGAATAGCAGCCCAAATTAAATAGCTGTTTTATTTGCAACACTCAGGCTGCAGTTCTGAATGAGAGATGGGTCAAAACTCTTATTTATAGTGATGGCAAAATGAATGGAACAAAAATAATTAAGAAAATTCTTTCACATCTTTGAGCTTAACCTGGTGGTTAGACATACACAAGGAGACATCAGGTGACACAGCAGACAAGCTGTTGCATTTTGGGGAGTTATTCTTCTGTATGTTAATCTGTGTTGTCAAATTGGAACAAAGATGTTGAGCATCATTTTCCAGCCTTTTATCTACTTAACTCTAAAAGCTCAGGGCTTGCTTCTAGGAGCTCTGCAAAAGATAAAAAAGAAAAGAAAGCCTATATGTTCAGCAGGCTTAATTTCAATTAAAATTTTTTTCACAAATTGTAAAGTTGAAAACCAGTGCATAGAAGAAGGGCAAAAAGGGGCAGATTCTTGTCAAATTGTCAGCATAAGTTGAAGATTCTGTGAAGAAATGAAAAACAGGACAAAACCAGGAAAAGACAGTCACTGAAAACAAAGGCTGATAAGTCTCTTGAAAATTATGTGAGCTAAAACCATGTTAGTTTAGAAAACACTTTTGGATTTTTAAATTCATCTGCTCAAGGGATATGGCACCCAATTGATGGGTGTGACAAGATCAATAAAATATTCCTGATTATGTACATTTCAGTTATAGTTACATACTTAGCAATCATATCCCTTGTGGATTCATACCTGTAACAGACAGCTTATAAATATCCTATGACACATACACTCCCAGACTGCTTCTTATCCTACAAAACACAGCAAGCTGGTCAGTAGTACTTTCTATCACATAAATGTCAACCACCCTTCTGACCATTCCACCAGTATGCACGCCTTCTCTGCAGAAGAAACCTCACAATGGGAAACACACATTTTTCCCACAAAATGAGGACGAGAAATGAAGAAATTAAAGAGTGAAAATTTCTCAGTGGTTGTAAAGCTCCTTTTCATGAAGTCGTAATTCCTTATGACTTCTTTATGGATTTGGCATGGAAGCTGCTGGGCATACACAAGCTTGTTACTTAAAGGAATAACTTGGTGATGAAATGATTAGTGTAATTAGGTGAAATTAAGTGAAACTGAACTAAAACTAGATGTATTTTGCTTCAAGGACTCACAAGGACAAACTCCTCAGCAGTGGTTCAGATAACACAATATCATGTAGCCATGTGATTTTGATATTCATTCATGTTTATTTATTGTGGTTGTGATTACACAGTCAAAAATCATGTGTAGCAGCTATTTGAATGATTGCTGTTTTGCACATAACACTATATTCAAACATCTATGAGCATAATCATGACTTGGTTTTAACTGAATCATATTAAAACAATCAAGGACCTGGCTTACCACTAGGAGTATGAATGAAATAAAATACTGTTGAAAATTCTGAACATGTAGAAGCTAGAAAAAACAGAGGTGGAGCCCGCAGTGGATACGACAATCCCTGTCCCACATGGGACAAGGTACCCTGGGTACATGCGGCTTTGTCCAGTGAGCTGCCATGTTCAAAGCAGCTAAATAACCTTAGTGTGCGATTTATTGGCAGAAAAGGTACAAAAAAAACCCTTTGTATCTCATCACTCAGGATCAGGACAGGCTGTATTCCTAAGCAAGCTGTTTCATTTCAGCCATCCATTAAGCTTGCTAGAGAAACAACTAGAGAAAACTGCAGTCTGGTATGCACGCCACACAGAAAACTCTGATTATTAACTCTTCTGTAGGCGCATTCTCCACTCTGCATGCGTGTCACCTAGAAAGATAGGAAAGTTCAGCTGGGTATGGGTTTCACTTCCGAAGCTGCAGAGGTAAACAAATGCAAATATTTTTTTTGTGTACCTTTCCTTACAAGAGTGTTAAACTTTGTTATTGACTGCCATTTTGCAGGAAGCAAAGCATGTGTTTGCAATCCTAATCAGTAAACTGCTACAAGAATTGGTGGCTTACTTCTTGCACTGAAGTAAATGGATTATCTGTTGCACAGGACCTATCATCGTCTCAAGGTGGTGAAAAATTACCTGGCAGGCTTAATAATTTCCCATATGATACTTTTTTAGGACCTTAAATATTCAGCTTAACCGTATTCTGGGCTGCATCAAAAGGAGTGTGACCAGCTGGTTGAAGGAGGTGATCCTGCCCCTCTGGTCTCTTAAGACCCCTGTTTGGAGTACTGTGTACGGTTCCAGTGTCCTCAACACAAGGACATGGAACTGTTGGAGAAAGTCCAGAGAGGGGCCACGAGGATGATCAGGGGACTGGAGCACCTCCCATATGAAGACAGGCTGAGAAAGTTGCGGCTGTTCAGCCTGGAGAAGAGAAGGCTGCGTGGAGACCTCATAGCAGCCTTCCAGTATCTGAAGGGGGCCTACAGGGATGCTGAAGAGGGCCTCTTCATCAGCGACTGTAGCAACAGGACAAGGGACAATGGGTTCAAACAGGGGAGATTCAGGTTAGATATAAGGAAGAAGTTCTTTACTGTGAAGGTGGTGAGACACAGAACAGGCTGCCCAAGGAATCTGTGGATACCCCATCCCTGGAAGTGTTCAAGGGCAGGCTGGACAGGGCCCTGGTCAACCTGGTCTAGTGGAAGGTGTCCCTGCCCATGGCAGAGGGGTTGGAATTAGATGATCTTAAGGTCCTTTACAACCCAAACCTTTCAATTCAATGATTCTGTAACGTTCCCACTGAATGGGGATTCTGATAGTGATGATGTGAAGGTGACTAATTGCTTTTCATCCCACATGTCTGGAACACCAATTCTAATACATGTTGGCAAAAGAGTGGTAAAAACTGAGAAGAGGGTGTGAAGGGAGGATGCCAGAATACTCCACCACTGAACTTCCAGCCTCCACCAAAGCATCTCTCCCGGGACACCGAGCGAGACAGGTGGGTGCGAGTCCTCCTGCGGGCAGGCCCTGCGCCCTTCTCCAACCCACCCGCGGCCATGGCCGCCGGGCCCAGCGCCCCTGCCCCTGCAGCTGATGCCCGGCAGGGCGGGCGGGGCCGGGAGGCGGGGACGCTCGGGCGGCAGGCGGTGGCAGCCCCGCCAGCACAGGAAGTCGCCCAGCCGCGAGAGGAGGCAGGAGGCGGAGCTGTGCCGCTCGGCCCGAGGTACCGCGCGCTTCCCGGGGTAGGCAAGGGGCCGCGGGCGCCAGGGCCGGCAGCACCCCCGGGTCTGCGGTTGTCACGGCAACCGCTTCCCCCCCGGGGCGGCGGGGGCGCGCTACCCGCCGCCGTTGGCTTGCGGGCAGGGAGCGGCCAGCGCGTGCGGCCGAGCCGCTGTCCGCGCGGGCCGCCACTGCCATTGGCCGGCAGAAAGCGCTCGCCTCCGCGATTGGCCGGAGCACGCTGCCAATCGGGGCGGCGCTGCGGGCGCCCGGGTGCCGCCCTCGGAATGCGGGCTGAGGGGTCGGGGGGGGGTCAGCGGCCGCGTCTGGCGCGGCCATGTTGGGTGCGGGCGGGCAGAATCCCCTCCCCTCTTCCCCGGCGGCGTGCACCGTGCCCGGGAGGCGGGGAGGGGCGGCTCCCATCGGAGCCGGGGCTGCTTCCGCGGCCTCACGCCGCTCCGGGCGCTCCTCGGCCGTGTGGTCAGCCCCCAAGGTGCGCGCAGGTGGTGCCAGCTGGGTCCCTCCGCAGGGTGTGACTGGCCAATCTGTAGGGAAATAAACCCGTCAGCAGGGGGTGTCCCGTGTGAGGGCTGGGGTCGAGGCCTGTTTCGGGAGTTGCTGGGTTGACAGGAGCCTGCGGTGCTCCTCTGTGGGGACAGCCTATGGCTTTCCCTCATGGGCTCAACCCTTCCATGTACTGCCCGCCAGTGCAGTGCGGTTGGGTGTGTATATATATGTGTGAAGCCCATTTGTGTCGGGTTCCTGTGTGTCTGGGAGCTGGATTAGCGGCTGCTCTCTTGTGTGTGCGTGTACACATGAGCTGACCACCCTAGTGCAGTGAGGCCAGGGCGTGTTGGAGATGGCACATGTGCAGTGTGTGACAGCTGGCTCTGGGTACGCAGTAAATCTGATACAACCTGGGCTTTTCGAGCTGCCTGTATTCACCTCTCGGGTGTGATGTGTTCCGGGTACATGGGACTTCTTTGTGTTCTGTGCAGAGTGCACTGGTCATGCTTACGTTCAGAAAATCTTGGATAGAGACACGGGAGCCATGACTTCTCTAAATGTGAAATGTTGGCAGGAATGTCTGCCAGTGTGGATTTGTGTCGCTCTCAAAGTGCTCTGCCTTACATCAGCCTACATAGTTACGAGAGCAGAACACAGTACCAGAAAGCCCCTGTAAAAGAGCATTGGTATAATTGGGCTGTATGCGCACACATTCACACACAGTAATTCAGTTATATATCACATAGGGCTTGAGTTCTTTGCTTTTGGGTACCAGGCTTGATCCTAAAGAGCTAATCAGAATGGAAGGGTGCCTGTTTCTAAAGACATGTTGACTCTCCCAGCCTTTGCTACAGATGTATGATTTCTGTAGTGGAAAACTGTAGAAAGTCTGCTTAAGGAACACACAGAAATCTAGAAATATGGGGAAAATTGATCAGTTTCTTAAGTAGTGCTGTTTGGCATGTCTTCCTTGGCTGAATCACTTCACCTCTTGGTACAAAATGGGTTAGGGACAGCCACTGTTGTTCAGAAAATAGCTTGTCTGCTCACTGAGGAAAAAATTACCAGCTGTTTCTGTTGGCATGGTTATCTTTGATCATGAATTAGTGCTATCTACCCTTCTAGGACTTGATATCTGTCTTCATGGAAGCTGTGAAGATGTAAGCCTACTTCAGGTCAGTACTGTAAGCGTGAGCATAGTGAAAACAGACAAGTGTTAACTTGGAAATAAATTTATCACACCAGTACAAATAGTTGCCTTTTTTTTTCTTTCCACAGAAAGGGCAGTTGCTCACATTTTCTGTTATTTTTGCTTCAATATGTAATTTCTTTTGTAATTTATAACTTATAATTCTGTAACGTATGTATATTCTTCTAGCTGAGCCTGTTTGAGCAGGTTTGAGCCCAATAGATGACCTCAGGAGGTCCTTTCCAGCACCATCAGTCCTGTAATTTTGTGACTTGGATTTGTTAATTTAACCATGTAGAGTTTACAATAATGTTTTACAACTGACTGTCTAAAATAGTATTTTGTGTTTGCAAAAGCAGTACAGAAGATACTCAGTTTCAGCACAGATGTGACAGCTCTTCAAATATCTAGGTTTTGAAAAATTGTTTAAAATGAAGTGATTAAACCAGATTTCTGTTAGCACTGGCAAAACTCCTCGTATAATTTACTTTGATTCTCGTATCAGTATTGATTCTTGTATCAATATACATTAAACATACATATATATTTCTATTAAGTTCCATAAAAACAGGGCTATCCCTTCCATTTCAGATGCAAGCAGCTGAGTTCCTGAATTCAATTACTGAGTATCTTCACATTGAATGAACAGGATTTTGTCCATAAAACCAGACTTCAGCAAAAGGTAATATGCAACAAGATACGTACTTATCACTATAAAAATCAAGAATAAAAGCAGTGTGTTTATTTCTGGTTTGTTGGAGTGTTTTTTTTTAAATTACTACTATTTTATTTTCATAACCTTGGACTATACAGAGAAAGTTTGTATGCATTGGATTCCGATTCCATGTGACTTTTGCCAGTTCCCCTAACTTCATAGCTCTTGCTGTCACTTTCTGCAGCCGCTTCAGGAAAGGAAGCTAGTTTGTGTGCCAGTTTTACACCAGGTACTGGAAAATCTTGTAACTCACCTATAAGTCACAAATACAGAATGAGGACTAATAATGTAAACTAATACATTAAGCTGTGATACTGCCCAGTGTATATCTAGGATTTTATTAAAATACTTAAGCCCAACCTTGTAGCCCAGTCTTCAAGGATGACTTAAGCTCAGTGTACTTCAGGGAAGTAGGAAACATAAAATTTTAGGGAGTCTACGTAGAAAATTGCATGAGGGTTTTGGTTTGTGTGTTTCTGTTTGATAGGTTTTTTTCTTGTTGTTGCTTTGTTTTTCATTTTTTGTTTCTTGTAGTTTGTTTTTTTTTGTTTGTTTGTTGGTTTGTTTTTTTTCAGTGCAATGAAGACATTTTCCTTGGATTTATTGTGAAATTTGTTTCTTGAGACCAGTAATTAGTTTTTGTTTCTTACATAATTTTGATGGTATTCAGTTTCTTTTGACAGATTTTTAAAACTAATTACAGTTTGTCACAGTTGGAATGTTAAGAGTTTCTGTTGGATTTTTTCTCACAACTAGGAAGTTCCTGGTTTTGTTTTCCTTTGGGATATTTCCATATTAATCTAGGTTTTTCATTAGGAAGACAAGGTGTGAATTACAAAAAAGTAGGATAATTTGGAAAGTCTTTATGGGTTGCTAAAGGCTAATGTTATAAAACTGGGCTGTATGTTAAAAAAAAAACAAACAGACCTCTGAAACCCCAAGTTTAATATCATCTTGGAGACTCAAGTTGCTCTATTAAGTACTGTGCTTCATAAGTAAATTGTTATGTTTACGTGTTACGAGGTAGGTAAAGATTAGAATGGAACATATATGGTTCTGAGGTGTAGACAAAGAAGCTAACAATTTCGGTTGAAGCTAACAGTTTACGGTTGAAGTCTCACTCAATGATCCGACTCCCTTATGATACTACTGTTGTAATACAGTTACTTCTGGAAAACAAGACTGCAAAAGTCCTCTGACACAAACTCTGCTTTAAGATTTCTGCTCCTGTAGATTTTTTCATTTGCTTGCAGGTTTACTTTTTATTGAAGAAAAAAATGTGAAGTGATTATATACTAGCTGATCATTTTTTAAACTAAAAAATGAAGTGCTTTTCAGTGAATGGCTATCCTCATTTCAAATGAAGTCTGCAATGATTAAATATTAAAATGATCGATGGTTTAAATTAATATAAAAACTTTTCAGGAGATTATTACAAAGATTAACATTTTAAATGTTTTAATACTTCCATAGTTTATCAATCACAGGCACAGTGAAACTGTTTTTAGTTACCAAGCTGATGAGCTCATACATCATTGCAGCATTATGTGCAACATAAACAACATGGTATTGGTAGAGATGAAAAAATCAATGTATACTGTGGCTCTTTAATAACCTGGTTTTGTCTTAAAGTTTTTTTGTGACACAATAAGAGTATTTTTTCTTTGGAAAGATGATGGGAAGGAAAGAGTGTTGCCGAAAAACTGGTGTTTGCCATTTAGGAAGGAACTGTTTCATGTAATGACAAACGTAGATAGTCAGAAGAATAAAAAGCACTTGCATTAATGCAGTTTTAACATCCCCAGATTTTCAGCAGCAGCCTTATGATTCCTGATGCATTTTTCTTCATCAGAATTATGTTTGAAGGTCATGGGAAAATGTCAAAGCACCCCAGGTGCTTTTGTATCACTAGCTGTGCATAGATACCCCTCTGATTCAGTGGCTTGATTAAACACTTACTCCAGGCATTCTTGACATGGACAGTGCTAATTCCTTTTTTTTCCTATTTCTTCTGCATATTTTTTTAGCAGCAAGGGCAAACATTTTTAAGTTTGATTTTGCCTCTGTAACCACCTATTGTAGTGATACAATGAAGAGGTTTATACAATGCAGTTTATTGTGTCCCAGGACTTTTTGTAGTGTTAAATATGATAATTGATACATCAGCAAAATACTGTTTATTCATATGCTGTGATTGGTTTTGGCATCATCCTTCGTCCAGTGTGTTTTATGATCAAAATCAAGTTGGAATTGGAAAGACATGGTATAATGAATTAGCCAGCATAAGCCCAATAGCAAGTGTAAAGAAGAATGGGAGGGTGACACAGAAATCCAGGAATAAATGCTGAGCTGGTAAAGTGAATAAATGGGGAAAGACTGTTATGAAAGCAGAAGCTCATGTGGAAAAGTCACGCCAGAAAGGGTAGGTGTGAGAGAGGGAAAAAGCAAAGGTTAATAGTAGGTTAACGTTGAGAATGGTATTGGGAAGTTAAAATCCAGAGGGCAGAGGAAGCACGCCATTTTGTACACAAGTTTGTTGTCACCTACTAATGCTGTTATTTCTATTCTTAAGTAAGACAACAAAATAAAAGATGGGGTTACATTGCCTGTAGTTAGTTGCCTCTAGCCAGAAAGCCAAATTTATCCTCATGAATTTCCATTAAAATAAAATAAAGTAATGGAACAAAATAACCTTTTATGTTATGAACTGTTTCTTATAGTGGGGAAACAGATTGGGTTGGAAATGTAGTAGATTTCAGAGTTTCAGTTGTTTTCTCTCTGGCTGTGCTGTATGGTGTAAATGAGAAAAGGTTAAGTTTACCTGTGATAATTCTCTCTCACATTTACATTATCAATCAGCCTTTGTAGCTTTTTGTGCTTTTATCTATTGTGTTTTCATTGTAATCTTTACATACAAAGTTCTCAATTCTACAAACTCTTATGCTCAAATTTATTCACGAATGGCTCTGACAGATGTGCTCTGGAAGCCTTAGATGCTGCTGTTTAAGATGCTGCCAGCTGGTCGCTTTTTCCCCACCCCTCAGACTGCAGGCTGTACAGAAGGCCCAGCAATACCTGCACCCTCAGTTTGCCTCCATCACCTTAACTGACACGTCTTTTTGGGCAGCTTGCGCTATGTGTAGTCTGGGAATGGGGTCATGGGAGCAGAATGTACCCCTTCTTCTTGCCCTTTTTTACAGGCTGCTCACCCTGGCAGAGAGGTGATTACTTGGGGTCAGCAACATCTTAAAGCTTCTCAGATACTAAAAGCTTATTTATAAGTCTCCTATGTTTTCAAGCCAAACATGTTTTAAAAATTCTATTACCTGTGTGTTCAACTTGCACTGTACTAAGTCATTATGGATAGCATTTCAGTACTTGACTTTACCATAACACCATCTGAACTGAATCTCTCACCTTGTGGTTTTGTCTTCTTTTAAAAGTGATCATGCCTAAAAGCTCATACTAAAAATCATAATCTTTCTTTCATGTAATGTGTAAGCTATAGAAATTGTCCAGTAGGCGGTTTTAGTGTTGCACTTGTGTGGAGGTAATTATGCTGCCTTCAATTAAGATTACATCACTTACTTTACTGCTAGACCAGTTTTGTATTACTTAACCTTCTTGCCAAAAGGAAACGGTTAACTTGAAGCAGTGTATTGCTTGTTTTGTTTTTGTGTCTTGGCTGTCAGACTGAAAGTACACTCTCTGTATGGCTAACTTTTAAATTTGATTAGGTCCTTGATTTACTGTTACTCAACTAAAATTAATTTAAAAAATAGGACTCTACAGTAACAATAAAATGCATAAAGACCTGGTGAGCTGCCAGGACTCAGAAGTAATGGCTCGAGGCCACTGTCAATGGATGTGAGCTTGTGGAGACTTTCCCCCGTGTTTGTGTCAGGTGTGATGCTTTTTGCTATTTTAGTCAATTGTGTGTAAATGTAAAAGCAGTAATAGCAAACAATAGATGGTTCAGTGATTGCTGGGTTGATGAAGAAAGGATGAAATTAAAAGCATGTTTGGGATCATGGTAATACGAGTCTGTTAAAATGCAGTTTGCCTGCATGTGTTGAGGAAGAAGGAATGCTGCATGTGCATACAGAATGTAAAATCTTTTATCTTCTAAATCTGTGACTGTGGGAGGGCTTGGGGTTTGTGAGGAAGCTCCTGTAGCCATAGGGAATTCAAGTGCAGGACAGTTCAAGAAGGGCTGGTGCTGCCTAATAGAGGTGGAGGAGAGGTAAGAGGGTGCTTTGAAATGGCTTAGTAAGACCAGTGCTGGAATGTTGCCTCTAGTTCTGTTTCTATTAAAAACATGCTCTGAAAAATTTGAAGACATGATGAACTCCTGGAAGAGGCAGATGGACTTCTGTTAATGATACTGCCTTTCATGTTTGCTGTGATGTTTCTGATGACACATCTAGCTTAACCTCACCCATGTTGGACCTCAGCAAGTTCTATTTGCTGCCTGTCCCACCTGTCTTTTGCAAAGGCCCTTCTGCATACAGTGTGGAGTGCCATAGGCAAGGCTGTGCTGCGACTTTGTGAGCTTGTCATTTATTCCTGTTACAGAGGGTATGGAAAGGACTTTTTCTTTTGTTGCATATATACATCATGGGAAGCTGTCTATAAGTTCTGTTTTCAGCTTTAGATTTTGGTGTGATTAAAGTGTGATTTTTAAATGCAAACACAAAGAATTGCAGCAGCTTATCATTTGGGTTGGTTTTTTTTTTGATTCGCAGTTGTAAAATGGTCAGAGCAAGGATGGATGTTGCTTCCTTTAAATTTTTCCATAATTTGGAGTGAAGAGGTTAACAGCATTCCTAGATTGCTGTTCACTTCTTTTTTTCTGAAAGGCAGGGTAATTTGAAAGTTTGGATGATTCTGGTATCTTTTTGGGTATAGAGAAAGCAGCAGACCATCAAGTTAAGTAGGAAGAGGCTACTCTGGAAAACTGATAATTG